TTTATTCTCTTAAATAGTTGTGATAAATTTTTTTGTGTGCATTTATTAGTTTGTAAGCTTCTTTATACGAGGTTTTTTTGTTTCTAATAGTATTAAAACGATAAATTGCTTTAAAAATTATGTAATTTGATTAGTTAATTGTCACAGGTAATTATGGATAGATCTACAAAAATTAACCAATCATATGAATGTCCGCCCATGATATCAAGGCCGATTTACAGCTGTTTTCAAAAAGGTGTGAACGATTAGGGGTCACTATATCATAGAAAATTCATGATATTTCCTAAATTTCCTTCTTTTTTTACTCTCGCTTCTAACAGAGAAATATTCTTACTAATTTCCTAATATGAATAGTTTTATAGTTCAATAAAATAATACTATTCGAAGTTAAAAGTAAATTTTAATAGGTGAATTAAAGAGTTTTTAATAAATTCCTAAAAATAGTAGTTATCTTGGTGATATTTATCCATATCATGTGATTTTGCTTTATAAATCAACTATTGTCAATTAAAAATTATAGTGCTTTAATGGTAAAACTTTTAGAATGCCTTCAGCATATAGTGAAGACTTAAAATGGTGTATAGTATTTCTTCAGCATAGTGGTTATTCCAAAAAACAGATTGCAGAAATTCTTTATATTAGTAAAGGTTTAATATATAAAGTATTATAGTTAGAGACAAATACCAGGAAGACACAAAACTTTTAACTGAAATGATATGAATGTAAATAATTATTTTTATTTCATATATAAAATATTTTATTTATTTTTTAAAATGTTATAAATTTTATAAACAGATTTTACAAAGCATTGTTCAAGAAAATACTAACTAGTATCTTGATAAAATAGTTTGGGAGATGGAAGTTTGAAGTGGTAAATATCTTTCTATTTCTACTTTATAGTGCTCATTAATATATTGAGAAATAATATATAAAAAGGTTTCTATTTATAATTTTTATATTTATTTAGTTTAGTTACAATATATATTTATTAAATATTTATGGTAGTTAAGCAAAATTGTCAAAGAATGTGATAAATTGCTTCATAGCGCCTTTATGGCATATATTGAAACCCAATATTAACATAAACAGCTGATTTTTTTAGATGAGTCAGCTAAAGATGAGCAAACAATTACTTGTGGTTATATTAAAGTAAATACGAGAGAAGTAAAAAGGGTAGTATTTGTTTATAGTAAACATTACACAATTTTACTAGCTCTTATCTTAGATGATATTATTGCCATAGATATAATGGAGGGTAGTTGTACAAAAGAAAAATTTAAAAACTTTGTTATTTCACAATTGGTATATTTTTATTTAATAATTTTTATAAAATTGTATAAATTAATTTAATAATAAATTAGTTACTTTTATTTATATAACTTCCTCAAATGAATTCTTATTCGCATACAAGAAGTGTTTTGGTTCTCGATAATGCAAGAATTTATTATCATAATGGATTAATTGAATACTTAAATACATTCAGTGTATATATAAAATTTCTCCTGCCATACTCACCAAATCTTAATCTGATAAAGATAGCCTTCTCATTTTTTAAAAGTTATTTAAAATATTATCATTATTTTGTAGAAAACTGCTCAGATTCTATTTATCCTTTATTAATTGCTTGCTTACAAATTACACCCTTGCTTGCTAATAGTTTTTTAATAGATTAGTTTATTATTAAGAAATAGACTATATTAAAAATATATTATTGCTAAATAATATATAATTATACAATTAAACATTATATTTGGCTGCATAGTAATGAATTGTTTGTCATGCTCCAATAGTATCTACTCTGCATTCTTTAAATTCTTTATTTGATAATTTTAAAAATATCTGTAATGAAATTCACTGTTGTTCAAATCTTGATAAAAAACTTTGATAATAATCGTCAATGCTTTCATTTTTATTAATTGATTTTAAAAATTCATCAAAAGTAGGTAAAGATGGTTTTGCAGTATATAATGTTGGTTCTAAATCTGAATAGGATAAAGTAAAGGTAGGAACTATTTGTAATGGATTATAAAGTGGAGATGAAATATATGAATTTGGGAATATGCATAAACTTGAAGGTTGAGATAATAATTTATCTGAATTAGAGAATTGTAAGCTTGGTTTCTTTTTAGACAAATGATTATATACATATAATGGGTGTATTGGTGGTTCTGTAAGAGTAGCCAACTCCTTGTTTTATAAAAATAAAAAAATAAATAAAATTATATAAATTTTATTTAAACCAAATATAATAAAAAAAAATATTTATAATTTCTGATGCCCAAGTAGATAATATCATAAAAGTTAGAGCGTGGCGACTTAGTGAAGTTAGCAAGTTGTCACACCCTCAAGCAGCAAGACTAGAGTTTGAATCCTACTGACGACAAAAATTCGAATTTACAGAAAATGCATTTGGAAAGACTGTATCCTATTGGGTTATAGAATCTGTAACAGGGTCGTACCAGCTTGTACTGGGAGATAGTGAAATATATAGTATGACGTATGATTTACACAAAACCTTAGTGAAGCTACCAAGTAAATTCAGCAGATTGACAGGATATAGAAGCCTGCTTGGCAAGACCTAAGTAGAGAGGTAGTACAGATCTTCAATGGTACTATGTAAAGGATTATCTCTGGAAGTAACTGAACCGAACAGGACTAAAGTGCTTGACAAGGCACTCTACAAACCAGGCCACCGGACAAGTAACCGGAGGAAAAAGACCCAACCATAAGGACTAAGAACAGGTCACAGTCCTTCTGGGATATCTGAATTGGTAGTTTGGGGTGACGGAAATACAGAGATGGTCTGTATAGTGGGTGCTAGGGTTTGGGTGAACTCTACAAGAGCCAGGTAGTTAGGCAGTACAGCCTGCCTATAAAGGCTTAGAACCTATCTGTCTAATATATCTGTAGAAGTGATTGGCAGTGTGATCTGTTCGTAAAGATATAGAATCTATCCAGTAGTTTCTATCCAAAGAAAACTAGGTCTTTACATTAGATGTGGGTAACGGGTGGCTCTAGTGATGATACCTCAAGGATAAAGTAGTCCTATAGAGAATAGGTTAAGCATCTGGGACTTCTTGACTGACTGATGTAATGGGAATGTACTGGTAACACAAGTAGAGTTGCATTACAGAGGGTTTAAACGGGTAATCTCATAGTTAGGTTACAGGTATGACATCTAATGTAAAATCTAATAATAGGCAAACTACTTAATTAGGTGCTCAAAAGGTGCAGGTATGGCTAGAATATACTCTCTAATGTATAGGGTTTCATGAGGCATTAATCACAAGTCCCCAAACTCAACAATACTTAAATAAAAACATTAGCCCTGAGAAGGCTAGTTAGAGAAAAAAAAAACATCATAAAGGTAATTTTAATATAATATTCCTTATTTTTATATACATTCAAGAATGCTTGATTATATATATAACAGTGATTTGTAGTATAAATTTTTAAAATGCTCTGAGCTATTTAAGTTTCTTCTTTGGTAAAATTAGATACTTTAAGAACTTGATTTTTATTTTTGAAGTTTCTAAACAGTCATCCTCTAACATATCAATTTCTGTTTCAGAATCAGAATCCTAGAATAAATTTTATTTATTTTTAATTTCAAGCAAGTAAAATTTGAATTTGCCAGACAAACACCAAAAGTATAGGTCATATAATGTAAATTGATTAGTAATTATATTATTATAAACCCATATTTTAGGTAGTTAATTCATAAAATTTAAATAAACATACCATTTTTTATACTTATTTTTATTTTAAGTCTTGTAAATTAATCATTATAAATATTCTCATATTAGCTTTTTGTATAGATAGTTTATAATATTCAGACCGAAATTTTTGAAAATCTTGATCATTTACTAACTGAGTTCCAGCTTCTGTGGTCTTTTTGGCTTTAAGTGCTACATTATAATCACATGCTTCAATTGATTCATTCTTTGTTAATATAATTATATTGTTATGAATTTCTGCAAAAAATTCATTAATTTTAGATACAGTAATTTTATACTATTTAGTTGGTAAAAATTTTCTATCTAATTTTATAAAGATATGATAATGAAATTTATATTTGAAATCTTTTTTAAAATTATCTGCTTCTTTCATATAATATGTGTCCTCTTCACTATTATCATTATATTCAGAAGAATCTAATAAACTATCACTTTCCAAAGTAAGATCATATATCTTTGGCTCTAATTTAATTTTTTTAAATGTGCGTAATTCAGAAGAAGCATTGATTTTATTCTTTACAGATTTAGAGTTGTTGAATAATTTTTTTTAGTTGAATACAATCTTAATAACCATTATTGTACCATAAACAAAATGAAAAATTAAAAGAATCTTTAGAGTTATTAAATAATTGTAGTGCAATATTTTTTCTTGAACAAAAGCAACTTGATCTTCTGTCCAATCAGGTGTAAAAATTTGTATATATGCATATTTGACAGCTTCAGTTCAATTGCCTCTATGAGGTGGTTTTTAATATCACATTTGCATTTTTGTGTTTGCAAATTAACTCCACAGTATAAACACTTTTGACAACTAAAGCAAGTCCCTCATTTGTATATAAGTTTTGTATCTAGTGCATCCGCCATTAATACTAATACGATTGTAAAAACAAAATTATATACATTGTGATAATTTATTTATATAGTGATCATGGTAATGTTTAGAAAAAGGCATCACGCACTTTTCAGTGCAAGATGCTTAATTGTTACATGACTAATGATATAAAAATTACAACAGACGTCAATAATTATCTAACCTAAAATATGTGCTGATTAAACACCTCACTAGTGTTCGAAAACGGATTAAAAATCCCGTTAATCCGGGATTGATCTGAATCCGATCCGAATCCGTAATTCGGATTGAATCTGGGAGTGATCCGTGCCAATCCGACGGTTTGTTACATATATTTGTCACAATATAAGTGATAAATTTGAATTTATCACGTGACAAATTCGAATTTGTCACTTATATAGTGGCACAAGAAGTGATACATTCGAATTTATCACATAACAAATTCGAATTTATCACATAGAGTGATTATATAAAGACATGACCTAAAATTAGGCCCAATCCGCTCAATCCGGGCCCAATCTGACATTTCAGAGGCCAAACCTAATCCAACGGTTTGGATCCGCACAAATCCGAATCTGATCTGTGCCAACTTTTTCTAACATTACACCTCGCACTGATAAGTGTGTGATGCTCATTTTTAATAATAATAAAAAAGTTTAATTAATTTCCTGATTCCTATATGGGTATATATTATAAAAATCATCTGTTCACACCTTTTTGAAAACAGCTATAAAATGCAACATTATTATGATGAGTACCCTTATGTCAGAAAATTTTGTAGCATCTCAAAAATTCTTTATATATTTAACATTAAAAATTGTGCCTTATAATTAAAATTTTATACTGAAAATGGTTATTTAGAGGTTGGAAGTTATTTGTCATAGTAAATTTTTGTGTTATTTACAATTTTTTTTTTTTATGTTTTTCACATTTTACACAAAATCCTGGATCTTTTTGGGTCTTCAGCAGGTCCCCAGATAATTCTAAAGTAGGTGGGGGTAAGGATGGCTCTAAAAGTATTTTGGCGTGCCGAAAGTCATGTCGAAATCTAAAGTTATATCGGAAGTTGTACAAAACTCGAAAGTCTTACCGAAACTTGAAAGTCCTACCGAAACTTGAAACTCTTACCGAAACTTGAAAGTCTTACCAAGACTCGAAAGTCTTACCAAAACTCGAAAGTCTTACCAAAACTCGAAAGTTCTACTGAAACTCGAAACTCTTACCGAAAGTTAAAACTCTTACCAAAGTCAAAACTCATTTTACGAACAAATCATGTGATGCAGACTTCGACAAAAACCAATCAGATCTTGATACAGATTTTTATATAAGGGAGGTAGGGGTATTATGGCGAATAGAGTATTATGGCGAATTCGATATGTCTCGTGATCCCGTGATCAGAATCGGATGATTTATACACCATTCGATTCGTCTCAGTGAGACGAATCGAATGGTGCCGAATTTGTTCATTTCCGATTATTGGAATATGAAATATCGTTATTTGAACGAATTTTTACTTAAAAAAGAAAAACAGAGCACATAAAAAAATTTTTTTCACATAAATAAATCCATCTTAGCATGTTAAGCAATTTTGTTCGCAGTAACAAATTCTACCTAAGTTCAAAACTTTTATATAGCCTGATGACCTTTTTCTTTATTTATTTTTACTTTAAAGAAATAAAGGCTTATAAGTAATATATTATGTATTATGGTGAAGTAATTACAGTGGGACTAGAAATTTACTTCGCACAAAACCAAAACTTATTAGATAGAATCAACTAAAAAAAAATAATTTTTAAAATCTTTTTTATGTATAACAATTCATAACACACATTTCCCTTAATTCTGGAATATACATACATAGGTCCAATTATAAAGCGACGCGTTAATAAAATGTATCGCGACACAAAAATTCTTGTATTATGAAAACAAGTTTATTTTCACGTAGAAATTGAACAACCCTGAACATTTAAATAAATAAATAACATAGCATATCTGTGTGTCACTTTATTTATATAACTTGTATTTGTCACGTTTACTGTATCACATTATTGCCTTATTGCGTTACATCAAATAAAATATGCAAGTCTCTTATACTAACAGGCAAGATAATATTCGCGCCGTACTTAATAAACTAAATGAACAACCTGCTGGTTCTAAAGGTCCAAGCTTAAACAGTGTTGCTAAAAGCTTTGGGATCCCAGAAACTACACTTAGGCGGGCTAAAAAAAATGGTGGTCCTCTTGGTCACTCAGGGCCATCAACTGTTCTTACAAAACATGAAGAAGATCAAATTGCCGGCTATTGCCTTAATATGCAAAAGCTCGGGTTTGGTCTAACAAAGGAAGGGGTTAACTATTGTATAATTGAAATTTTGCGATTAAATAAACGAAATCACCCATTTGGAGATACGGGACCAAGTTATGACTGGTGAAAGCGTTTCATGAGGGATCACCCTGAGCTTTCGATTCGTACTCCCCAAGAATTATCCGAGGCACGCGCACAGTGAGCAAATGCAGTAATTGTTAAGGACCATTTTGAAAAACTTAAACAGATTATTCATGAAAATTTACTTACCGCTGCGCAGATTTGGAACATGGACAAAACTGGTTTTGTCGTTGTTCCAAAATCTGAAAAAGTAATTGCAAAAAAAGGTGCACACCAAATTCATAAAGTTTCGCACGGGAATTCTCATGAACATATCTCATTAGCACCAACAATTTCTGCCGCTGGATCATATATTCCACCCTTGATAATCTATAAAGGTGTTTGCGCAATTCCTAGCTTGTAAGAAGGTGCACCATCTGGAACTGTAATAGGTTTTACAGATACCGGGTATATGTGTGAAGACCTTTTTCAAATGTACCTTAACCACTTTATCAATTCAATTTCACCTGCTCGCCCTGTTTTGTTAATTCTTGATGGCCATAAAAGCCATATTAACTATACAAGCGTCGATTTTTGCCAAGAAAATGGTATCCTTCTTTACGCGCTTCCACCTTATACAACACACATTTTGCAACCATCAGAGCTTCCTTTTGCAAAATTAAAAAATGAATATAGTAAGGAGTGTGATAAA